TCGGGAAAACGCGGTATCGAGAAATGGTTCGCGTAAAAGTTGTTCCGTGCATTATGCCGCGCAGCTTTTATACGAAACGATATTCTCCATTATCCGCGGTTACGCGGGAATTTGCGGTTGTTTCGGACGCGGAACGCGTTTACAAGTTTTTCACTTAATTCGATGTTCGTACATCATGGCATTTTATTTGCGCAGACGACCGCGCGATACGCCGCACATCGAGCAAGCAATTATCGATTTTCGCGAGTGTGCCATTTCGCAAATAAAAAATTCGATTTTGTCGTCACGGTCGCGTTGAGTCCGGGGACATTCTTCGCGCCCTCTTCCACCCCAACGAGTCGACCGACCGCGACGACCGGGATTTTATTAACATTCTTGGTAAAACTCTATCCAACCCTTGGATGACCCGACGCGAAATAGGCGGTGTTCTTAATTAACCGAAAGTCCACCGAAATTCATTTACCGCGGACTCTCTTTCGCTCTCGCGTTCCTCCCCTTTGGACGCGATTTTTAGTTCCTACAACCTCCGGCATGTCCCACCGTTTGCCATCGCTAAATCTTAAGTCAATATCTTATCGACGTTTCCGTATCGCGCGTAACGTTTAAAGACGATGTTTAGAAATTCAAAAACCGATTAATCGAGAAGAGGAAAGGTAGATCAAATCATGTCGGTATCGAATGGCGATTCGAGGGAGATGGCGCAGCCACGGAGGGAGAGGAGGGAAGAAAGGTAATTCGGTTTTTTGATCGAAATTAGTCCGCCCTTTTAATCGAGCGGATCCACGGTGAAATTTGGATACAGCTTTACCGAGCTCATCCGGCGCGAATTCGGTATAACCGTTCGGGGCGGCGATTCGATAACGCGATTACCCAGACCCGTTCGATCCCTGCACTCGTTACGATTACTCGAATTCGTTTCGTTAGGCTAATTCGGAACTCGCTCTTAATACTTGCTCGGGGGAATTACCGGCTCCGCTGATTTGGTATTCGGTTCGATTATGGGCCGGGTCGATTCAATACGCGGACGCGCCCGATCGTTCAAATACCGACTGCATATCGAATAAGAGTCCCGAATTCGTATTCGAGCGATCGTTCCGAAGCGTACGAGGCACGTGTACCGAATACGCGGATTCGTCGTAATAAACGCGACTTCGCCGATAACGGGGGTCACCGGGGCGAGATGACTCCGCGCCAATTTGGTTCGCCAAAGGGAAAGAGGAGTCGAATTTCTCTGCGGAAACTCGAGCGATCCGCGCCTATCCCCATTGCGGGGAATCCTCCGCCTCGCGGCGGAGGCTGCGGAATTTATCGGACGCGCCCGCGGCCGAGGGTGCGTCGACGGAACCGCGAGGGCTCCTCTCGGGACCGCTTAGCATCACAATCCGCGCAAATTGGATCGCTCAATTTGAGCGAATCGGGGCCGGCCCTCCGAGGTCCGATGCCCCGGCATAAATATGGAAATGACGATTCCGGGCCGCGACGCCGGAGGTCGGACTGGAGCGGAATGGCAGTAGTCGAGCGGACTCGACGTTTCGGGGAAAGGCGCGACGCCGGATGTCCCGCCCGAGAATCCCTCGACAGGAGGAACGGAGCGTCCCTTGACGAAACCCATGGACTCGGTGAGACGGGCCGGACCGACGAAGGGACTCCGCGGGCCGTGAGACGCGCCGAGCCGATTCCAACTGCGACGCGAGCCAAAGCGGAGGCTTACTTGGGCCCTCTCGTCTTCCGGCGGGTTCGTTCGATGTCTCGCGAGTCCGCACGCGGGTTAACAGAGATGTGTATACGAAAAAGGCGTAAGCCGGGACGGTTGGCGAGCGAAAAAGCCGCCGGCAAAGCGGCGGGCTTCGCGCCGCACGGAGGTTAGGGCACTCGACCCACTCGCCGCGGCGGGCGGCGCGTCTCCGCCCTGCAAAGTGGACGGCCGGACGCGCGGGGAAGCACGGCTGCCGCAAGGAATTCCTTCGAGTCGCGTCGGGCTTCGATCGAAAAATCGAGGAGACGCATCCTCCGAGAGGGCGGAAAGCGCGAACGACTCGAGGGTGGCCGGCAGATTTCTCGTATCGCGAGGAGCATCGGGGCGGAATCGACGCGACCGCGATCGAGCATCGGTGCTCGCGAGAAGCTCGAGGTTTCGATTCGACCGGATTCGATTTGCGTCAATTTGCCTGGATATTGGCGAGGTACGGAGCCGGAGGGCGAGCGAGGGAAGGCGAGAGAGAGGCGGGGAAAAACGGACGCGCGGATGTACTCGAGGAGAGAAAGGGAGGTGTCGCTTCCGGCTTCGTTGCGACGATTGCACTCGTTAGCGGTTTAATTTATTCACGGGCCGCTGACCGTTTTAATTGGCCGGCTCGCTCGCTCCGGGTCCGTTTCGCCTTGATCGCACCTGCCGCGCGAAGCGAATCATGGTCCGATGAGCCGACCGAACTCGATCGACGCATCCCCCGACCTTCCCGCGGCCACGGGACCCCTTTGCGCGGAAACGCGTCCCGGGGTTGCAGAAAATGCATTCCGCCGGAACCGACGAGGACGCCGCGGCGCCCCCGACAACGAAGCGCGCGAAGGAAACGTAATCGAGCGGCAGGCAGCGAGACGGTCGCGATTTTGGTCGACGTTAAACGACGAGCGAGCGCGTCGCCGGGCTTACCAATTTCCGGCACCTCCGTTCGAGGCCGGCCGTTGGGATTATTCGCACGTACGCGAATCCGGGAATCTCCTATTACGGGGTTTGTCGCGATAACGAGCGATCGCGGGAGTCGAATCAGAGCGGATGCCTCCCTCGGGCGTTTCGAGGTAGCGGAGCATCGATTACGGAAAAGTCCGTCGATGGCGTCAACGGTTAAAGGGTCGGGACGGGGGACGGATTTATTTAGAGTTTTCCTATTCGGAGCTATTCGGAGCTATTCGGAGCTCTCCAGAGGGCGGATCGACGATACGGACACGCTAGAAGAGGGAATCGTTTCCGATGGATCCGGCGTTAAAGCCGACGACACGCCCGGAAATATATGCCGCGACTATCCGATATCGGAGATGAGCTTAGGAATTAATCGTCCCCGCGGAAATCCGGCGGAAATCCGGCGGAAATCCGCCGATCGACGCCGCGCGCGATTCTCCGGGGATCGCGGCAATTCCGTCGGAGAATTGCGAGTAGAACCGCGAGGACGACCGCTGGCCTCGCAAAAGGCCGCCCCTCTGTCCACCCTTTCGTCCATCTCCGACCAAGAAAGGTAAACGAAATTCGCGACGACCGAATATTACCGTTCAAAGGGCGGTTTTCGCGAGAACGGACTCGGCCGGTCGGCGACTCGAAGACGGATTTTCGAGAAGACGAACGTACCTTGGAATACCTTTAGAGGGTCGTCCGCGTGGACGCGCTATCTATCGCCCTAATCGTTAGAGCTCGCGCTAAAGCGATGTTCGCTCAGCCGTTCGAGGGTGAAGCGGGGTTGTCTCGAACGAGCGGCAGGTGTTGGGGAGAATTATTATGGTTATGCGGAGAAAAATACCCGTTACGGCGAAGGTGGGTAAAATTCGTTCGGCTCGAGGTAAACGGTTTATGCGTCTCTTGAGCGAGACGCGTTTAACGCTCGAGGGTCCCGCGGGCATTTAACGTCGTTAACGCGCAAAGGTAGGCCGACCTTTTTCCGGACCGCCGGGGACAGCATCGAGTCGGTTAAAATCCGAAATCGCCGTCCCGGTCCCCGGGCAGTTGGCGGCAGGTGTTCCCCGAAGCCCGCCCCCGCCGGGAGACCTTCCGCCCCGTCGACGAGCGATCGGTGCTCGCTCGATAGGGATTCGCGACGCCGCGGCGGGCGCGCTCGCTTAACCCTGACCCCGAGGATAACGCTCCCTCCCCCCGCCGGCCCTCGGAGCCCGAGGCCTCTCACCGCGGGCGATTTAAACCGCGTCCCTGAACCCTCCCGGCCCGAGAGAGGGAGAGAGAGGGGGGGGGAGAGAGGCTCTCGGCAACGGTTCTTCGAGGCCTCCGTGCGCGCGCAACGAGAAACCGAACCGAGTCCCGGAGCCATACGGCGGGCGGTCGCGCGTCGCTTCGAAATTCGATCGTCCAACGATCGATGCGGAATTCGAGCCTCGAGGACCCTCCGGATTTTCCTTCGTCGAGGGAAACCGTCCACCGATCTCGCAGCTCGGCGGGCGCCCTCGAGGCATCGCGCGGTCTCGGAGAAAATGGAGCCGCTACTCGGGCCGCGGAGTCACCGGGTGGAGGGGACCAGCCGGTCGCTCCTCGTGCGCTACGTTACGCGCCCGGCGATTACGATGCGCCGGGACGGGAGGCGATCGCGTGCATTTTTTTTCGGAAATGCTCGACCGTTCGCCCGAAGGAGCCCGAAGATACCCGAGGCCATCCAGCCGTGGCCCGAAGGTGAAAGAACCACCTGCCGGGCCGGCGGGGGAGAGGACGGGAAGCTAACCGTTCCCCTCCCCTCGGGTCCGCTCGAGCACGAACCGTCGGCGTCTCGGCCGCGTACCTGGCCGCGTACCTGGCCGCGTACCTGCCCGCGTACCTGCCCGCGGCTGGAGGAGAGGAAGGCCGCTTTCGTTGAATTCGGTCCACACCTGCGCCCGGATGCGGGGGAGGGACCGCGCGGATCGCGGGGAATTCGGCAGATTTCGTCGGATTCTCGTTCGACCGCCCTCCGACCGCCCCCGAGTCGCGAAACCGAAGGAATCTCGAGGTTCCTTTCGGTCCGACCGGAAACCGTGGATTTCTTCGCGTCCTCCGCGTCTCCCGTAATTTCGAATTCTAGAAGCGCACCGGGCGTTTGGACGATAAAGTTACGGAGACCGTCCGTATGCGCGGCCGCCCGACGGGTGCACCAGGCGGTTGGCGGGCGGGGAGCGGGCGGGGAGCGGGCGGGGAGCGGGCGGGGAGCGGAAGAAAGAACGGACGCTCGACGCGCCATGGTGGGGGAAAGGAGAACGGAGGGGGCGGCTCGGCGGAGCGCGCCGAGCGCTCAGTTGCCGTGTGACCGTTGAGAGGCGTGCACGTTTCCTCGGACGGAAGTAGATCGCGACCCGTCGCGACTTTCGCTTCGCGGCGACGAGGGCCCTCCCGCTCCCCTCCCGAGCCGCGAGCTCTCGCGTCCACTCCCGATCCGAGGGCGAGACAAAGGGACCGGGCCCGACCGAGTGCGCGAGTGAGCCGAGTGTCTCGCGAGTGGGCAGCCCGATGCGAGCCGCCGCGGTCCGGTGAGGCCCGCCGGCCGAGGATGACCGGTCGCGAGTGACTCGCCCCGTCCCCTGCGAGGGAGAGAGACAGCGACGCTCCTGCACCCGGCCACCGAGATGGGCCCGATGGGCGCGAGTCGACTCCTCCGGGCGCTGCTGCTCTGCGTTCTCGGTACGTTCGACCTCCTCGCGACCGACGGCCCGCGGAGACGCCGTCGGACGAGAGAGGAAACCTCTCGATAGCCCGAGGACGAGGGCGGACGAATAACGAACGCGGTTGCTTTAAATCGGCCCCGGGCACCTTTTCCGTTTTCCAGGCCTCGGAGAAGCGTTAATTGCGAAGCGGTGGGGAGAGGTTTCCTTATCTTATAATTTGCTTTACTCGGACGGCGTATATATATGGCCAAGGAACGTTGGAACTTGCATTACCGGCGAGATTAAGAGAAAAGGGGGGGGGGGTGGGGGGACGGGGGAAATGTGCGTTTATCGGAGACTCCTCGAGGACTCGTCCGGCGGGGAACAAAGCCCGGAGAGATGCGGGAGCGAAACGAGAGAGAAACGTTTAAGGAGGGCCGGTCGGCGGAGGCGGGACCACGTGGCGACGCGACTCCCTGCGCGGCCCGTAAACGGCCTCGGGGCGGAACGAGGGCGCGGTGGATTTCGGGTCGAAGGGGGTCGAAAGCGCGGAGGGCCGCGGGATTTGCGTTTACGCGTTATCTTACTTCTACCGTCGTTCCTCGAATCGGAAGCCCGAAGATTGCCGGGACTGGCGTCAACGGAGAGACGCCCCGTTAAACGTCGCTCGACTGGACGTCGAAGCAACGCCGACGGTTAACGATGACGCATTCGGCGCGATTCCCGAAAAGCGGCCTGACCTCGCCGTGGAATGCAATTTCGTGGCGCGTTAAAAGCTCCGCGCGGTGTCGTTAACGACGGCAACGGAAGCGCCCGTCGAGACCTAATTTGACCGCGAGACCGTTAAGCGCGGTCGTAACGATCCAATTTGGCGAGACCTCTCGAATGGGTGGCCGATAATCGTCGTTCGCCTCGAAAGGAAACTCGTCCTCGGCGTGACTCGTGCTCGCGGAACGCGGGGAAATCGCTCCGTGAGTCGTCGGACGATCTCTCGAAAGAGGACGCCTCGAGACGCTCGTCCCGACTCGGCGGAAGAAAAAGTCCACGGGCTTCCGTTACGAAACTCCCGATGAAATCACGAAATCCGGCCGCTCTTCCTTTCGCGACGCGCCAACGTGGAAACGATCGGCGTAATCCGTTCCCGGACGGCGCGATTGCTATAAGACTCGCGCGAGTTTTACGATCGTTGCATACCTTTGTGGGAATAGTTTCGTAACGAAGTCATTCCGAGCGCGACGCAACTCTTAGCGAGAAACGCGCGAGAGTCCGGAAAGTCCGGAGTCGACCGTAGGCTTCGACGAGTTTCCCGGGGTCGCTCACGGGGGTTCGTCCCTTTTTTCGGATCGCGCCGGCGGAATGTCGTATTTTCCCCTAACGGACCGGAAAATCCGCCTCGTCGTGCCGCAACGACCGACTCGCTAAGCGGCCCTGGAAGGGCGGATTTATGCGTCGAGCACCGCCTTCCCCTCGCCCGGGGGGCCGAGAAAACGATACCTCGGCGAATTAACGCCGCGCGTTTCGCCCGGACGTGACCGGGCCGCGAATGGCGCCGTTAGTGACGAGGCTCGCGGATGCGCCCGCGGGTACGGAAGGCTCCCCGACAAGATTCGTTGCCTCGCCGTTTTCGCCCGGAACGAATTTTTCCTTATCCCCTCAAAGTTACGGCGCCCGTCGTTCGACGCGCGCTGAACTCCCCGAATGTTTGGGGGTCGCAATCGATGGGCGGTATTTCGCGTTTATAATTGATGGACGTTAATTTGCATTTCGATCACAGCAGAAGGAGCCGAGCGCTCGCCGATTCGTCATGCGCTGACTAAAAACGACGTGCCATTGGTTACTCCGCCGAAGCGACCGATCATCTCGTTTGACGGATTTCGACGCACCGAATTCGGCGATCCCGATTCCGAGGCGAAAAGTCCGCGTCCTACTTTTCGCGATGTTCTTTATTAAAAATCGGGGGATAATTCGATAACGCAGGCCTTTCGGCGAAATAACGATCTCGTCCGCTCGATCGGCGCCGTCCGTTGGCAAAGTAACTCCTTGTCCCGCGGTTTCTCGTAAGGCGACGTCTTCCGACGAAACTCGGCGAACTTAGCAATTTTCTCCCGTAACGAGGAGATAAGCCCGTGTTTTGTATGGGTTCGGAGCTCCTTTGCACTTCCGAACGCTCGGGCCGCGGCTCCCGGCTGATTAGTCTTTCTTTCCCCTCGGTCTTTTTTTAGCGCGGTCGGGACGCCCGGCAGAAATGAAAATACCCGACGAGGAGCCGGAAAATGTGCGTCGCATCGCTATCGGGGATTTCCATATTTCTCCCGGACGTTGTATTTTTTATACCTTTAACGACACCGGGCCAAAAATCGAACTTGGTGCGTCTCCTCGGATCGGGAGACCGCGAATCCGAAAGAACAACGGGGTTTCGTCGCTAAATCCTCGAATGACGTTCCGATCCTCTTCGGCGGTCCGTTGTTTAAATTCGGGGGGAAAGCCGCTCGGCCTTTTCCGGATTTTCGGATTTTCAGAAAAATAGGTTTCCTCGAGTCGACTCGTCGCCGGGAAATACCGGGAGGCGCGAAGGGATTCGCGGGCGACAGGGGGGCGGAATCTCGCGTTTATGAAAACCATAACGAGGAATTTATTGTCAAGGAAAAGCGCCTTACGTGGCATCGGGGACTCCCGACTCTTTCGAGGGACTTCCCGAAGGCGTTTCGAAACGGGCCGCTTGAAAAGCGGGGAAAAGGAAAGCCCCCTGGTCTCTCGCGTCTCGACGAGCAACGGGTGCGCGGGAATTTTCCAAACGCGGAAAACCTTGCCTTTCGCCTGCATGCCTCGCGTCGACGGAAACTCGAAATGTCGGTGGAAAGGCATGAAAAAATGATTTTTACCAAATGGAGGTTTGCGGCTCGAGGAGCCGACACGCGCGTCGAAACGGCGAATAAAATATTAAAAATCGCGCGAGCGGTGACTCCTGGTTTGTCTCGGTTCTTTCCCCTTTGCGCGGAGTGCTTCGGACGCGGTCCCGTCGACGCGCGGAAAAAACGGATCTGATCTGACTTGGACGGGGACCCCGCTTCGGTCGTAATACCCGTAACGGTGTAGTTTTCCGCCTTCGTCGAAGGTATCGAACGCTCGCCAATTATCACTTTATGGGCTCCGTTCGACAGTCGGCGCGATTACGAGTGAAATCGAGCTCCGGGGTGAAACGGAAACTCGGCCGAAGGAAAGAACCGACGCGACGAAAACCGGGGCAATTACCGATCGCTACCTTCGATTCCGGATTCATGCTCGATTTGTCGAACGCTGCGACTCGGTCGAAAAAAACAAATCAATTTTCTTGGATCCGTTCGCTCGCCACGCAGCATCGCGACCCTCCCCGAGAAAGTTCCTCCGGGTTATTAACGGCAATCGACGCGACTCGTTTGCTTCGTGTAAATCGTGCCACTTTTGGGACGATTATGCACGTTTCGACGGCGACGCGAGGTCTCCCGGACTGCACAAGGAGATGCGTCGGGCGTTCAGCAATTATCATTTTGTAGGTTTCGCTCGGTGATCGGGAAGATTACCCGGTGAAATCGAGCCCCGAGAGCGGAAAGTTGGTCGCGCTACGGGACGGGGATTGGCGCACCGATGGCCGATCGATGGCCGATCGATGACGCGTCCGATGGTCTCGAACTGGCTCCACTTCGTCATCCCTACTTTCTCTCTCTCTCTCTCTCCCTCTCTCTTGGCGTTCAAGGGGAAGGGATTCGAACGGGGGATGAAAGCGTGAAATATCCTCCTCTGGCTTTGGCCCGGCTAAATCGACCCCCTTAGGGTGAATTAGTAATGGCGGGACGTTTGTCCTGACCCGCGCAACGCGTTTGCGTGCGCGATTATTCGTCGGGGATTATCGGGATTATCGCGGAGGTGGATAATAAATGACTCGTTGCTCGCGTTTTAAATTCCCCTCCCGTTAAAATTTCCACGAGTTTCCACGGGGCGCGGAGGTTGGTCGGCGACCGATGACGTCGCGCGTTTCGATGGACGAAGTCCGACAGAGAAATTATTTTTCTTTCGATGCGCCCGCGGTGGTCGAACCTAAAAACCGCGCAGTGAAATATCGGGGGACGAGGTATTTCGTATAAAAAAAATAATAAAAAAATAAAAGCGAGGTTNAGGGGGGGAAGGGGGGAAGGCAACGTTTTTATCCAAATAAATCAAACCTCGTGACGAAGGACGTGTCACGATTTATTACAGCCTGTTATCGTTTATTCCGCGCAAAAGAAAATCCTCTTGGTTCGGATGAATTCTATTCGACCGTGGTAAATCCCAGTAGGGCCCCCATCGAGAGGGTTTGATTTATTTGAATCACGGTGGGTGCCTTTTCCGGGATACGTCGATCATCCTCGATCCCCCGGTGGCCAAGTTTCGCCTTGCGAAACTTATCTCCATTTCGTTGCCGTTGTTTCGACTCCTCGTCCGCCGGAACCGGGAGAATCGACGAAAACGGAGAAACCAAGGCCCGTAGACGAGGTTCGATGCCATCGACGAGGCGGGAAGTTTCTCGGATCCCCGCGAAAGGAAGACGGCGGCATCGCTCATCGTCGGATCCGAGGCTTCCTCGTTTTACGGAGCAACGAGTCGCGAGAGGACGAGTAATTGATCGATCGCGCCATTTTGCGCTAAAGAGCGTATTAACCCGGATGGCTACTCCCCTCGGGGAGTCGTCGAAACTCGTTGCCTCTCGTCGCTTTACACCTTCATGGGCGGCGAGGCGTCAGGGAAACGTCATCGCGTCGAGACGGAATCGGGTGGATCCTTTATACCCGGTTGGCGATGTATTCCACCGACGCGGTCCCGGAGGTCGAGCGGCGGAGAGAGAAAGGGACGGCAGGACTCGGGACTCGCGAGATCGAGAGAGAGAGGGAGAAGCAGAGTACCCGATGCCGCACACGTCCCGATTCGGGTGCGCCCCGTATTCCCGACGTGTACGCCGCTTATATGATTAGGTTTTAATGCGCTTAACGGCGCACCGTCGCCTCCCCGGGAAACGCGTCGACAAAGGGCGGACCCCACAACCGGAATCCTCCCTTCCCGGCCGGCGATCGGTTTCGCAAGCGCGCGAGCGAGGCTGACGCGCGGTCACCGTTACGCTTGGCGTGGACGCGGTGGGACGCGGTGGGACGCGGTGGGACGCGGTGGGACGCGGCGGGGCCCGGGGTCCGGAGGGCGCCGGAGTGGGGCCCGAGTGGGGCCCGAGAGAGGCAGGAACGACCCTGGCACGGTATCGCGCGGATCGGCCGCGAGCGGGAGAAGAGACGAGTCCCGACCGCGCTCGGATCGGGCAAATTGCCCCGAAGACGGTTCGGGCACGCGCCCCGAAGTTCCGGTCCCCCTTGGCCCCGCCCGGGAAAGAATAACGCGGCGAGAGCGGCGCCTCGTTATACGTAAATGCAATTATGCGCGGTGCGCATATTAACGGAACCTTTCGGCTATATAAGCGCCTTAGACCGAGATGAAACTCCCGGCTCTTCTCCTTACTTTTAATTCGCTCTCCTACTTTGCCGGATGCAGCTGGAGGGAATTATGCATGAATGGCCGCTTGTTGGCACGTATCAACGACGGGAATCTGGAGCGCTCGTTCTCTCGCGCGGGCTTGTCTCGTTACGTTGCGTTAAGAGCCATCCTTGTAACGGACCGTTTGCGGACCGTTGCGTCGTAACGCGGCGCTTAACGTTAGGTTGGATCAAAAATTGGTCCAAGTAGCGGAACGACTCACGTTTTGGATTGAAATCAATTTATGGGCGAATCGTTCCGAACGTCCGTACTCGAAAAAAATTTAGTTCGCGCGGGTCGAAATCGCTGCTTAGACTTTTCTGCCGGTACCTCGCGTGACTTTTCTTAATTTCGACCGGACGGAGGTCGAAACTCGAGCGTTTACCGACCACCTCGTCTCGTATTACTCCCTCTTGAAGGTAAATCGTGCTCGCGGCGGGGCGGAGGGGTGGCCCTCGGCCTTGTTCGGCTCGAATTTCTTGCGAAGCGCTTCCACCTCCGGATTCGACCGCCGGCATCCCCTCGGCCGTTACCATTCGTTTTCGACGACGAGGTCATCCAAGATTTTAACGGAGGGCGTTAAAAGGTCCGACCCGTCCCTAGTTCGAATTGGAAGCGCAAAGGTCCGCGTCATCTCGGAGGCGGGCTGGGCGAAGGTTGAAAGAGGCACGGTTTTCGGGATAAGGGACGACGTCGGAGGGTGCCGTAAAGTAAGTCAGCGATTTCCGAACGTTTACCTCGCCACGTTCGCCGTCGATTTGCCCGATTTGTCCACCACGCTCGAAAACCCGATCGGGTAGGGGCAGTCCGGCCTCGCTACCCCGCGGAAGGGGCTGGACGAGGTCGAGCGTAAATTTGCCGGGACTGGCACGCGCCAAGGCGAGTTCTATAGCCACTCCCGGACGATAATTTCATACAGTAACTGTGGGATATAAATAAGAAATACCGTCATAGTTTAATCGATACGATCCCTTCTCCCTGTGCGGGTCCATTACATCGGCGCGGTGGCAAGAGGGGACGAGTTTTCGCCACCGCCTCCTCTCGACCCGACCCGACCCGACCCGACCCGACCCGACCCGACCCAACTCGGTCCAACTCGATCCCGACCCGATCCCCTCGAAACGAGACTTTTTCTTGCGCCTCGAGGGAACGCGGGTCGATACGCGAAGAGCCGTAACGTCCGGGACCCTTTAAATCGTCGGGCCAAGCGAACCGTTCGTTGCCGCCAAGAGTAACCTAATTCCGATCGTTTCAGCTCTGGCCAGAGCGAGGGCGATGGAGAAGCAGCTGGACACGCACGAGGGCTCGACGATCCTGCTTAAATGCCGGTTCCCGCCCCCGAACCGGGAGGCCACCTTCTTCTGGCTGATGGACACCGTGACGAAGCACGACAACGCGGCGGTGGGCACGGTCTCGCTGTCCTCGGACTACGAGGTCAACATGAACCTGACCGAGGGCCGGTACGATCTGCAGATCCGCAATGTCTCGTACGAGCGGGACAACGGCAAGTTCAAGTGCAACGTCAAGGTCAGCGGCACGGGCGACAGCCTCCATTACGAGGTGGTGACCTTGACCGTGCTGCGAGCCCCAGGGCCGCCGACCATTTCGCCCACCTCCGCGCTGGCCACGGAGGGCCAAAAGTTGGAGCTCCGCTGCGACACGAACGGGGGCAGTCCGGAGCCCGAGGTGACGTGGTACCGGGGCACCGGCACCGGCGTCCTGCACTCGGGGAAAAGCTTGGCGATCGTGCCGAGGAAGGAGGACGACCAGGCGACCTTCCGCTGCGTCGTGAGGAACCGGGCCATGCCCAAGGGCCAGACCCTGAATGCCACCGTGGCCTTGGACGTCAGCTACTTCCCCAGGGTGACGGTGGGCCCTCAGAACCCCCTCAGGGTCGTGGCCAACGGCACGGCCACCCTCGTGTGCGACGTCGACGCGAAGCCGGCGGTGACCCAGGTCAAGTGGATGAAGGACGATAGCTTCGTGGCCACCTCGTTCCACCACGCGATTCGCAAGGTGACCCTTCAGGACGCCGGCAGGTACACCTGCCAGGCGGACAACGGCCTGGGCCGCGTCGGGGAGAGCTTCCTCTTCTTGGACGTCCTTTACCCGCCTACGGTCACCGTGGAGGGCAGCAGCGTCCGAGAGGCCGAGGTCGAGGACTCCCTCAGGATCCACTGCAACGTCTCGGCGAACCCCCCGCCTTCGGTCATCGAGTGGACTCGGGAAGGCAGACCCGAGTTCCGTCAGTCCGGACACATCCTCCGGCTGGACCGGGTCACCGCCGACCACGCCGGGAATTACACCTGTCGAGCGGTCAACTCCGTTCACCCCAGCGGATCCGGGGCGGAGAGGAATTACTCCGCCTCGGCCAAGGTCACGATCCGAATTCGTCACAGACCGGGCCCGGCCAGGATAACGCCGGATTCGCCAGTGGCCGTCGAAGGGTCCAGCGTCATCCTCACCTGCATGGCCAATCCCGCCGGCTACCCGGAGCCACAGTACAACTGGTCCAAGGAGGACGACGGCGGGACCACGACGGTCTTGGGAAGCTCCGGGGAGGCTTCCGGTCCGCGGTACGTCATCGACTCCGTTCACCTGGGAAGCGAGGGCACCTACAAGTGCCACGCCATGAACGAAATCGGCAACGGGGAGCCAGCCGCGGTCCGACTGACCGTTCACCAGCCACCCAAGATCTTGACCAAGCTGCAGCCTCACGTCACCAGAAAGTGAGTACTCGATTTTTCACTCGGATCGTTGGGCGTCGAGCGGAGTATCCGCAGGCGAGGCTATTTTTCGATCGAAGCGAGGACGACCGGGTCGAGGTTAAATTTCATCTCGTAATTCGATTTCTCGAACTCGATTTCAGGGTCGGCGAATCTTCCTTCTTGGTCTCCTGCGTGGCCCAGGGCAAGCCGAGGCCCACCGTAAGCTGGCTGAAGGACGACGAAGAGCTTACCGCGGGAGCCAGTCTCTACGAGGTCAGCACCACCGTTACCGAGGGCCACGGAAGCGTGGTCACGGTCAATTCGACTTTGAGCTTCATCGGCCACGAGCGTCCCGAGACCGACAAGATCGTGGCCAGCGATCGGGGCAGGTACACCTGTGTCTTCGAGAACGAGGCGAAGAAGGTCGAGTCGACGATGATGCTGAAGGTGGAGCACGCGCCCATAGTTCTGCACGAGCACGACAAGGTCGCCTATAATTTGCGAGAAACGGCCAACGTGACCTGTAGAGTCCAGGCCTGGCCGAAGCCCGAATTCCAGTGGAGTTTCGGAACCAACTCGGCACCTCTTCAGGGCTCCTCGAGCGAAGGCCATTACGAGATTTCCACCAACACCGACAACTACGACGTCTACACGTCCGTGTTGAGGATCACGGACATCAGGCCCTCCGACTACGGTGACTACAGCTGCCGAGTGGCCAACGGCCAAGGAGGAATAGTCTCCACGATCCGACTACAGCCAAAGGGTGCACCGGAAAGGCCAACGAGAATTACGGCAACGGACGTGGGGCCTACCCACGTGACTCTGGCCTGGCAGCTAGGATTCGACGGGGGACTCTCGATCACCAAGTACTTTGTCTCGTACCGAAAAGTCCCGTCCAGTGGTACCGCCGATGAAATCGTGGCCTCGGATTGCGCTCCACCGAGGTCTCCGCCGGGCCAGTGGTTGGAGCTGGACTGCAGGTTGTCCAACCCCTGTAACGTCACCGGCCTCGAGCAACACCAAACCTATACGTTTAAAGTCAAGGTCTACAACACCAAGAACCACTCGGACTACTCCGACGAGGTGACGGCCACCACCGGCATCGCCAAGATCCCTGCACCCATGCGAGCCAGCTACGACCCCGAGAGCGGAATCCTCGTCGTCAACGTCGGTACCACCTGTCTAGCCCTCGTGGCCTCCATCGAAAGAGCCGACGGCTCCGACGACTCCTGGAAGATCGTCGACGAGTGGCCCCTCGAGGGTCTGGGAGGCGCCCCCACGCCCAGAGAGGGAATCCTGGACGTCGACGGCTCCGACTCGGAACCGCGTATTCGAGTCAGGCTCTGCCTCAAGGCAGACCGCCAGAAATGCGGAGAGTACACCGATACCGAAAGTGAGCGTTTTTATTATTTTCACCGATGGCTTTGTCTCGCGGAAGACGCCTCGGGTCCGACTATAAATTGAATTCGACAAAGTTTGAACGGAATCGGTCGATATCGACAATGCCAGCGAGACGCTTCGGCGGGTCTCGATGCCGCGTTCTCGGTACGGTTGAGCAAGCGAATGATCTCGCTCTCTGAACGAGAAACACCTGGGCAAATTGCCGTCCGTAGCCAGATGCGTCGATTAACCGAGGAGAGTCTTCGAAACCTGAGACCTTGGAAGTCGTCGCTAAAATTTGTCTATTTTCAGTCGGGCCTTCTTACATCGCTCAGGCGGGAGCCCTGGCGACGCCTACCCTGATCGCCCTGGTGGTCAGTGGGGCAGTTTTCCTCCTTTTCGCGGCGTTGCTTCTGCTCTTCTGTCGTTGCCGCCGGAAACACGCGGCCAAGGCCAAGGATTACGAGATGGACACCAACGCGTAAGTCGTTTTCCGGTACAAGTCAGCGGTCCCGAACTCTTCGACGATTCCCCGATAATCGGTATCCGGAACGAATTCCCATTGTATCCACGTCTCTCCAACGCATTTCCCGCCTGGGAGCGTTCATCCCTTTCGCTCGTTCGCAAGGTCGCGACCCCGCCGAGGTTCCGCGAAGCGGAATCGGAACGGAACGAAGCAGTGGCCAATCGCCAAGCGCAATTCCGTTGGGCCGTTGGCGGAATCGAATGGAATTCCTGTCGGTAGCAGGAAAGCGCCAGTGGATACCGTTTGGAGCCGCGTTCCCGCGTTTTCCGTGATTTCCTTTTAATCCGGTTCTTTAGGATTCGATCGCGAGCACCGACCAATCTCGTCCAAGTTCTAGGTCGCTTCCAAGACGTGAAACGTAAGTCCCTCGTCCTCGTCGCGACGGCCCTTCCGAGTACCACGGGCTTTCTTTATCTTCTTCCGAAAAAGAGAGCAAAGGAAATGAACGCTCGCTTATCCCCGCCATTTTGGTCTCGCCCTAACCTCGGATCTCTCCGCTCCCTTCCGGCTCGCTAGAAAATGAACGGAGGATCATCCGCGTATCTGTTTCAGGGTTCGACCGAGTCTCGTTACCGCGAACGGCCAACAGACTCAGGCCCCGCCGCCGTACTACGCGGAAAATAAGGCCCTCGAGCACAGCCTCGATCACGCCCTAGCTTTGGAAGACTCGAAAACCCCGGCATATGCCCAACCTGGATATGGATACCACCAGGCGAATCACAACATTAACGGTAAGCATTTCACTCCCGATTACTCGGAATATTTCACGTGGAATCTGCGAGACGAGATACATGGGCTTAACCGGAATATATGAAATACACAGGGGTTGGATCCTTCTTTGAGGTCGGGGACCGAACTCTTCGTTTTGGACCATTCGGTGAAATAACTCGATTAGTCCTTAATCGCAGGAAACGTTCGATTACGCCGATGATTCAGGATTCGGGGGTGGCGGTGTTCCGATTCAAGTAGGATAACACGAAATATGGACAGCGGGTTTTGCAGGGCACTATTGATCGATTCGGTTACACGTTTTACATCGATTATGTGGCCGATGATATAATTCGAGTAGCCCTTTATCGCGCTTGGTATCCAATCGCACGTAATTAATACGTCTGTCATCGACGGGATAACTGTAAGATTAATCGTGTTTTACGTTTTTGCGGTTATCGATCGTGCCCGATTACTTGGGATTGCGGGGGATTCGTTAAAAAATGAAAGTCAATTTTAGTACATTCGGTACTTGTGGTTCACTGACTTTGAATCGAGTCGAATTACGACGGTTTTTCGATTACCGGGCGATCGCAATAATTGGTTGAATCGATGATTACGATTTCAGCCCGAGGTCTCCAAGTTTTACGTCAAAATTTTCCATCGCGATCCCCGCGGTTAATTTACTAAGCCCTACTAATTGTCCGTAACGACCGATCGGTCGAAAAAAGGTTAATGCTCAATTAGTAAATTGGCCGGGCAGGGACGTACAATGGCCCAGAGATTCGTCACCGGCGGTAATTACTTCCTTCCGCGGGTTTCGGTCAGGATGGTTACCTGCGCACCTGTTGGTGCCCCGTAATTATTAGCCGTTTAAACGGACAATGCGAAAGTTAAGGTTCGCTATCTCGGTCGTATCTCTCGGAGAGAGACCGATTCTTTTGCCGAGCGCAACGAATGAATTACGTCGACACTAATTACCCCGAGACCGGGAAGAACTTTAACGGTCCCCCGCCTGCCCGATAACGAGTCGACAATTTTTTTTTCGCCGGTTAATCAGAAAGTTGCATCGAATCGATTAGCCTGAAATTCGATAGCAGGTTTAATTGCTCGCCCCTGTCGGCGAGTCGGATCCCCGCTAACGGTCGGTCGCGCGGGGAGGGAGTAAGACCTCCGCGGGATTCGAAGACCGCGCTCTCCTTCGCTAACTCAATTAACCCGTTTAACGAGGATCGCGTCCTGCTTTCAAGGGAGGGGGACTTTGCCGACTCGTTGGTTACTCGCCAATTTTCCAAATTAAAACGGCGAGACGCGTGCTCGGCCGCCCAGAGAAACGGTTCGCGCATCGAGGAAATTGTTCGGGAGTCGATCGGCAGCCCCAGGTGAAAACGAATCATTCCATTCCGGAGTTACGCGCGGGTCCTCTCGGAGGATGCTTAACAAAATTTGGCTCGGCCTCTCGGGGTAGTTTTCGAGAAAAGCGGAAAATGGCACGTTTGGCAACGTCCCCTCTCGAGAATCCGTCTCGCGGCTTCCTCTAAGTCTCGCTCTTCCGATGCGTCCGCAGGTGTCAACATGGGCTACATGGACAACAGCTACAGCAACTCGAACAACGGCGGATCCGTCAACTCGCAGGACTCGATATGGCAGATGAAGTCGGCCGCGGCTAACGGGGCGAATCCGCCCTACGACATGGGAGGATACGCCACCACCGAGAGCGACTACCCGGCCCATCCGCACTATATGCCGCAGAGGGACGACTACAGGGAGAGCCACAACCTCAGCCGGCAGCAGTTCTGCTCGGAGCCCTTCGCCGCGGTGGTCAAGTCCCAGAAACACGTTGGTCGGTAGTCGGCACCCTCTTTCTCTCTGTCTCTGTCACCGTCTCGGGGTCTCTCTCGCTCCGACGACGGTGGTCGGATTTTCAATTTTGCGAACGGTCCGTGGACGTCCGATCTCGATGTTGCAGATTCCCCGTACGACGTGTCCGGGCTGCCGTACCAGGAGGGCTACGACGAAGACGCGAAGCCGCCGCAGCAGGTGAGCCTGTCCTACGACGAGAGCCTGGAATCCGGGTACTCGACCCCCAACAGCCGCGGCCGGCGGATCATCCGCGAGATAATCGTCTGAGACCAGCCATCCGGCCCGCGTGCCGGAAAGACGCGGACCACGTGGCTATAGCAGCAGGCCCCCCAGTACCCTCCGCGGCCCCAGCAGGCCCCGGGCCATCATCGCATGGAGATAGTGATCGAGAACCCCGTGAATCAGGCCTACCGCGCGTACGAGCCCGACGTGCCACCGGGAACTCTTCGGCAAGTCCATCGCCCGCGAAGGGCGGCCACTCCCACCGAGGCGGACCTGGACCGTCGGCGGGTGGACCGATCCGGCCTGCTAGAGGTCTCGGACGCGGATCCCGGACGACGGTCCAGGCACCGTCAACTCGGGTCGGCGAAGGAGGCGGGTTCGACGGCGACTCTGACGAGGCGCGTCGACCGATCGGGCCTGTTGGAGGCGGTGCCGGAGCTGCCCGACCACCAGGAGGCGAGACGACCCATCGGGACGGAGGAGAACGCGGATCGGACCCCGAGTCCCAGGGGGCCCGGCTCCGGACACCCTTCGGGCCTTTGGAGGCGTTCCCTCGGCGGACGAGAGAACGCCTCGGCGGTCGAGGTCGAAGACGGCGCCAGGTTCGTCCCGATCGATCCCGGAGCCGTCGGAAAGGAGCATTTGCCCTCCAGACCCCGCACCGAGTCGCCGTTGGTCCTCGGCACGGGGCTCGGTGCCGCGAGCATCCCCGACGTCGTCGAGGCCCACGAGCCACCCGAGGGGAGCTCGGTCCCGCCGGAAGTCCCCCGGGGCGAAAGGGCCGAGGCCGAGGGCTGCGAGCACCCGACCGTCGAGAGCCTGGAGGAGGCCAGGATTTCCTTCAAGGCGCCCAACAAGTTGCTCCACAACGAGAACATTCAGACCCTGCGGGTGATCATCCTGTCCGAACAGCTGTGAGACCGGACGAGGTTCCTCGAAGAGGCCTCTCGTCGGCACCCACCGAGAGTGCTTTCCCTCTAGGACCTTTATCGTTCCGCGATCGCGTCTAACGATAAGGCGGACCGACCGCCTCGCCTGGCGGGTGGTCGGGTAAGAAACGGTTTCGGGAACGTTTCTCCCGAGTATTTTCAAAGGTAGCTTCGCTGGCTTGGCCGCGCGACTCGGTCAACTGCCACGATAGGCTCAAATTTTCCTCGGGCGCCGTAAACGATCATTGTATTTCCTACCAACGAGACTGGACGAGTCGGCGGACACTGTCGGGTTTTTCTACTTTTATAGCCATAGCCGACGTCGCCCCGAGTCGTCTCCGGCGATGGCGCGCGACCTGGCGAAACGGTCGACGTTTTTTTCGTCGATGACCCATGGATCGCGACACGTTGTACCTAGAACGCGACTCGTAAAAGTTTTAGGCGATGAAATCGCGACACCTCGGGCCGAAGGCGCCCGAGTGCTTGAGATCCCGGGAAAAGCATTTGCGATTCGTCTTTTCATTTTTTTATTCGACCGGAAGGTACTTTCCACTTCATCCAAAAATCCTTCGGGTTTCGGATCCCTTCGTCCGTTAAGTCTAATCTCATTTGACAAGATCGAGTTTAATTGCGAGGCCTTGACGAACCGTTTTTCGAGGCATCGCGAATAGACCGTTTGATTAACTTCGATCAGTGGAAGCAGGTCAGATATTTGATTTTGTCGTAGTCGATGTTCCGGCTAATTTCGCGCGGTCGATCGTAGGACATCGAGAAGGTCGAATCGAATGCTTTTTCCCAAGTGCGACGTTCGCGATAAGTCTTTTTCTAAGAATGTATTCTGTGTAAATAGGTAGCAATAAGCGATTAGAGGCAGCGACTCAAGTAACGTACTTTACGGATCGACGCTCAATGTGTTCTCGTACCTATGTCTATACACCTAGGATATAAATAATTCACCGACGATCCCGACGGATTCATCGCGAACGTCTCTCCTCTCGGGGGGGGGGGGGGATACCTCGCGTATCGATTTCGAAGGGGTTCGGCAAATCAGGTTTCCCCTGGGTCGCGTATCGTCGAAGGGAGGCTGTCGTCGTTTTTCTTTCCACCGGATGACCGTAGGACGTACGATAATCGCGGAGGTTGCAAAGTTTCGCGTTATAAATAAGACAGCACGGAGTACTTAAAGACGATTCGTCGTGGCGCGCGCGATCGTTGAACGTCTCGTTAAAAATCCGAGAGGACGGACGTACGACTCGATGTCTCTCCCTCGTCGGGACCGTCCAAGCGCCTAGACTCGGAGAAGAGCTCCGGACACTTTTGCGGGCGAGCGGTTTCGAGACGATTGGGACAATTACGTCGTCTCGCGTCCTCTACCCCAGAACCTCCACCGACTTCGGCCCGAGAAAGGCGAAGCTATTGGTCGCGGACGCCGTGCTCGAGTCTCTCGGCGGATCGAACCTCGATCGCTGAGACGGGCCACCTTCGGTCGATCGCTATTGTGATCTCATTTTGCGCGCAGGGCCGAGCATCTCCGAGTGCCGTGTCGGAGAGCGATCGGGCGGAAGGCGTTCCTCCCCTCGAAGCTCGCGCTCGGGAGTCGATCGCGACGTCGGAATCGGAACCGAGAGCAAAATTGCGAGACGCGGAGAGGGGTGCCTTTTGCCGACTTCGGAAACCCTCGGATTGCTCGGTTGTCTCGGACTCCCGGAAACCGGAAGTCCGCGAGACGTCGTCGCGACGGCTCTTGCCGCCGAGCGGCCCGGGGGGCGGGGGCACGGAAGCGAGCGGCCAGAGAGAGTTAGTTGAAAAATATTTTTACATTACGGGACGACTTTGGCGCGATGGTATATCACGGGCCAACACTTAGGCGAGCACCCGTTCGAGGCCCCGCGTACTTAATCGAGCGTCGGCAAGATGGCGTCGCCTCTCTCCCTTGTATAAAAGAGCGCGCGGAGGCGTTACACGATGTACATATATACAGGGATGCAAGAGGGAGGTTTCACGGCGCGCCTAAGACCTACGCGTAGATATTTAATGGCGGGGTCTTTTCTCGAAACCGAGAGACGGAGAAGGGGAGCGAGAGAGGAGAGAGCGCGCGAGAGGAAGTAGAGTAAATATTAGGCTATTTCCCGGGAGAAATCCCTCCCTCTCCTCGACGACGGGTGAGGTTAACCCCTTTCAGCGGGACCCGCGTCCCGGACTTGTAATATATATCCAACCCCCCCCCGAGATGATATATTAATTATTGCCTATTATTAATTACGACTTTATTACGATGGATTATTATTTGTACAAATTTTATGTTGCAATATAAATATACGATAAACGACAGTTCTCGTTCGAGGGTCGATGGACTCCTTCGGGGTGGAATAAAGTGCTCCTATTTTAACAGTCGATGCCCCGTTTGAGTCGTATTTCAATCGAAAACCACTACGCGGCGAAAGGAAATCCTGCCAGGAGTCGAGAAATCCCTCCGAAGCGCGAGAAGCAAATTACGAGCGATTTCGCGAAGGTTTTTTAAAGGAACTCCTGAATTTGCGGACAAAGGGGATTCTTTCTATAATGACCGGACGTCGCTCACAATGCGGAGCGGGTTCGTCCGTTCCCACGCGCCTAATGGCACGCCATTCGCTCCTGGAACGGGAGGCCAGCGCGTCCGGCCCGTCTCTTTGCGACTTCGAGGCCGCCGCCACGGTTTCCACAAATCGGCAAGTGCGTACCCAACTCATCTCTGCACGTACTTACGTCTGGCGCCATCTGCCCTCCACCCGGGAGACTCGCGGACGATATAACTCATCTCTGCTCGGTGCATAACTCTCTTCGAGATTCCTGTACTGTATTTCGTGAAACGGTGTCGGACTCAACTCATCTCTGGCAGTGTCACCCCACCCCTGGGCGAGCATCGTGCCATACGAGTTTATCGACGATGCAGTTTCTCCCTGATTATCTGGGTTAGTTCATAGACAGAGAGATGAGTTGGGATATTACTTACGGGCAGGATCGTGTGATCGCATTCTGTGCTGCCCTCTGCTTTCGTACGTTAGCTTTCACCGTGTTTTGCCCCCAAGGGCAGCGTAACGAATTTCTGATAGGAGCTCGCGCACTCGCGATGGCGGTACCATTTGCCAGTCGCCCCGTTGGCGGCTCACGTACTCGTGATGGTAATACCAT